CATCAACAGTCACAGCTACTCCACAAAAGGAACAGGCTAAAGCGACCAAAATCAAGGTAAACCCCTTCAAACTTGGAAAATGAGGTTTTCTTCCAAATATTTGAGAAAATGTTCAAATTGAGATTGTTTTAGTCGTTGTCAAAGAATCGAATTGCTGGGAAATACGTGAAATTGAACAAAACTCCTACCGTTGCAGTGGTTGGGGTAAGCGGTTGTTCTCTACTTCTTCGTATTTACACTTTTACCCACCAGAGCAGACCACATCCAAATGTTCACTGATGCTCTTTCGTCTATTTACAAAATTTAGGAATCGAACACACGTTTTGTTGGCCGTCTTTCTAACACGGCTGTCGTCTACGGTAAAAGTTTCAAACTCACAAATCTATCTCGAAAGGAGCTTCATCTCAGCGTATGTTTATTTATTTGTTCGCGGTTAAAAGGTTACAGGCGTAAACAACTAGACTTGATCATTATTTGTAGTGCCTATCAGTTCGAGAAGGCCAATGACAAATACAGAAATACCAAAGGCCAACCTATCGGGCTCAAGAGTGAACTTTTGTAGCGAAATAAAATCACCTTGTCGTTCTAATGGGGGTTTCCGTCCTTCCAGGGTGGGTGTGGTGCAGTAGGAACGAAATTTCCGCGTCGCGGCGAGAGAGACGCCGCGCGCGAGGGGATGTAGCAGAGTGCAGTGGCAAGTAAGAAATTCAGTTACAAAATAACTAACAGTAGAATCATGCCATGAGTAATAATCGCATAGCGATTGAGCTGCATGAAGAACTATTATAACGAGGCAGAGGCAAATGGCCCGCGACAGCCGCGTGCGGCGGATCGATAACACAAAACCGTTCTTACTGCCCGTCTCCCTTCCAGGGTCTGTTGAAATTTGTTTAGCCGAAAATTGTGTAGTTGACCGTAATAGTAGGCCTCCTTGACTCCGGTTTGTAGTCGAATGCATGGCGCACTCTACAAGTCAACCAATCGCAGCGAATGCACTGCCCTTTTTATAATCTTGGGTTCTTGATGGATTCACATGAATTCCAGGTCGCTCCAATTGATTGGCCAGAGCACATTCAATTGCTGCACCCGATTTCTGCGACGATCCTAGCTCCCGGACAAACTAAGGACATGGCGTAAGTGATGGAATTTTTCAATGGGCAATCATTCATGTGCAAAGAACATGTATCGTAGTAAGGGGGTCATTTTAGGGTTACCGTAACCCGTTCGGATGGAACGGTTGCTTCGGAATGTCACCTGTTGTCGATTGTTCATCGAAAGACTACAGTGTCCCACGTTCTCACATTTAGAATTGACGCTATGGCCGTTCATCATCAAGGTACCTGTGTTGTTTGTTTAACCTTTTACCTGGTAGTCGATCTATCGCCACTCAGTGCTTCTTTTGCAGGCCCACTACTATCGGAGCTTTATACACCAGAAGAAGTCAAAATGATCACGACATTCCGCCCAGTACTAAATCTTCCTCGTCCTCTTGATGAGGGCCACCAACAGTCTTCTGATGAGGTAAGCGTTCTTGGCTGATAATATGATCGATAGGTAGAGGGTTTAGAAATCAAACGAGAAGGTCCATTTGAGGAGGTTCTCTGAAACCCAGTATCTTTTTGTAATGTTCTTCCCCTAATTGTTCTGTTCAGTGGGAAGACGTAGTACATGGAGGGCATTTCCTTATGTGAACAGACTTGCGATGGTTTTGTAGATGCCATCGCAAATCTGATCACCCGTGGGGCTTAGCCAAGCCATTCAGATTCGTGAGTCGTGGTTTGGCTTACGACCAAAAATATTTCAGTTGAGCTGGCAATTCTATGAATTCAGTCAACTTCTCCTTCAAAAATTCCTAATTCATTATTTTTTTTATTCATTTTCAGTCGAATTGGCTTGAGTTAGTGATATTTTTGTAGCTCTATTATTCACTTTTGGATGTGTTGATGAATTGAATGAGTAAACAAGTAAACAAGTACGTCATGTAAGTCGAATAAAGCAGTGCTATTTTCAGGCTGAGGCCACGGAAACTGTACACACTGTTATCAATATGCTGAAGGTAAGCGGCTTTCAAATTTTTTTTGCTAATAAAGTTCTTAGAATGATTTTTTTCAGGATGAAGTCGATAGCATGTGTACCGGAGTTATTCCACAAACTAAGGTAATTTATTGCAAAAGCCATGTGTATTGATCTCAAAATTACCTACAACAATGGGTTCCTGACGTGAACCTTTATTAATTTGACAGTCTCATCCCTCCGCTGCTTTGTGATGGGGTTTCTTAATCAGGGCGATTGTCTACTGTGAAATACAGCCATTTTTTATGAATTGAGGTGGTGTGGGAGCTTATAGTTTCACTCTGACGCTAATGATCCCTAGATCAATTCCTCGGAAAGGAGGATAAAGTTCTTGAGTTTTTGAGGTCAGTGGCTGTTGCATTGCTCAGTTCCTTCTGATTGCTGCCTGAATAACTGAGCTTTCTTATGAATATCATAATCTCATTGCTCAACCCAAGAAGAAATGATCGGGGACAGTAGCGCTATTACGGAGTGAAGTACAATTTTCGGATGGAAAATTTTGATTTCTCATGCAAGAAGGGTGATAACAATTCGGAGGACATATCAGGGAGTAGGGAATGTACTTTGTGTCCTTCTATTTTTTTTGAAGTTTGTATTTTAAGGTTGAAGCGAACTCCGTGCACACACTCACTGAAACAGGTGTGATTGAGGTAAATTCGTATTCCTCTCGATTATCAATTCCAATAATTCACCCATCGGAGGCGGTAGGGTACTTCGCTTCGCTTGGGGTTTTAGAGGTTCACAAAACCTTTTTCTGATTTTTTGCTGGATAATTCAAAGGATCCATTTTGACATGAAACTACCTGCTCCCAGCTCATCCACACCTGCTCCCAGCTTACATGCAATGTTTTCTGGGAATGTTGTAATTGTAAAGTGAACTGGGGCAATGGGTTATGCCAATGGTCGCAGTTATGTAAAAATGTTTTTACAAAAGGTTCACTTAGAAAAAGGAACAGATGAAGGATGGTTGAAAAGACGAATGATGAAGGTCCTCTTGTAGGTGATCCAGTAGGAATTGATTTAGAACTGATCAGAGCACATTTCTTTGTGTACTATGATCTTTAGCTGTCAGCTGATAGACGCAGCTTTTCCGATCAGACCTCATTGATTGATTGATAACAAAAGAAACATGAGGGTACTGTAGTTTCATTCGATTTTTTGGTTTCTGAAGTGGAGTCGAAAATTGAGTTAAAGTAGGTGAATAGGTAATTTGAATATGTATAGGTGATTCAAAGGTTCCAGAATCGGCAAAGTCCCCAGTCCATAATTTTGTCCATTATGCTGTAATGCTCGGATAGGGTGGCCCAGGGAACGAAATTTTTTGGGCTGGAACCGTTCCCACAACGACTAGTTCGTACCGTATTTGTTTGATTTGATGTGAACCAACCTACGAGTATGACTTGAACTTCAATGTTTGCAGTGTAATCAAATGACTGACAGCGTTCACACTGCAATTGGGGATACCGAGGAAGAGTGCATAGTCAGTTCAACCGTTTCATCGATAAGTTTTTAAAGAAATCCGTTCTGTGGCATAAATCCCATGAATCTTCTTTGAAGGCTGCTCTGGAAAAGGTCACAGTCACTGAAGCAGAAGAAACAGCCAGCGATTCGTCAGGCTCAGACTTCGAGCTTATCGACGTCGATGAGGGTGGCAGTATCTCGTCAGAGGCTGAAGAAGGCGATTTCGTGACCGCTTAGGTATCCATTACATGGTATTTGTAGATGCATGAAATCCAAAATGAAGTTGTTTGTGTTTACATAAAATTGTCGTAATTTCATTGTCTAATGGTTATCATGTTTTATAGCTATTCAGGGATATCTGTAAGCTTTTACTGATGATTGTAGTCCATTGATACTAGTTAGTACCACCAAAAAAGTGATTAGAATAATGACCAATAGTCTCCTTTTTGTTTCTAGTGTTTTGTATGCCACTGTGTATGTCTTTCATTGTAACTAACGCTGTATAAAATGCTCTGGGAATGATCTGGGAATACGGCCGTACAGTACAGCTTTATGATATGATGGGTAAGTAACCGGCTCACCCTGAGCATGTGTATGGAGTTGATCACGATGGAGAATGTAGTCAACGGGATTGAAATCTCGTACAGCCACCATGTGGGAGACAATAAAGCAGTAATTTGAAGAAGTTAAGATGAATATCGATCATCACATCCTGAATGCGCCACGCATTCTGTTTCCTTTCAGAACCTTGGAGCAATTGACCTTGTAGACCGAGACGATATTCCTTCCACTGCCCTCTGTCCTCCGCAGTCATCAGCCCTTGCTCAGTCCCAGGGAGAGACATCTTCAGTTGATCTAAATAGTTTTCGATCCTGAAAGCACTTTGAAATAGAATGACCCCCATCGCTAGAGCCTGTGCCTATCGGAAGCGCTTCCAAGGATGGACTAGGTTTGAGAAGAACATCCTCGTGACAAGCTGTGGTTGCAGTTTTTTTGAGGACCTCATTACACAAAACCAGACTTGGTCTATTTCAGATGAAATGTAAGCGTTTAGGGGCTTCATATATTACTCACTAATGACTCCTCTGGGAGTATCGGAAAAAAGATGAAGAAAAACGGGCCTAATACGATCCTTAGGGAGTGTTTCTTCCAACACCCCCGAGATTTGGCGAAGTAATAATAAATAATGTTACTAAAGAATGCAGTATGGTCTCATGGCAAAATATGCCTCCTTCCAATTCTCCTCCCCTTTTGCTTGATACCAACAAGCTTCGTGTGATTTGCCAAGAGAGGCGGCACGCCAATAGGCATCCGCTTGTTCTCACCGTTCAAAATGTGATTGCATCGTCACTTCAATATTCTCTAAGTGGATCAGCCATGCATTCATCCGCCATCCACATCCGTATTATCCGTTTGAAAGCGTTCTGCTTTCCATAGAACATTTGAATACGTGCTTTTGTTCGAAACACGGTCACAGTCAACCTCCTAAACCATTTAGGTTCAATTTGATCAGTTAGGATTTGATTGATAGGTCTAGCCGGCTTTCCAAGCGACCTGGAAGTGAGGCAAGCTGGTTTGACTCAGTGGATCGGAGTGCCCGGGATGTTGCTTAATGTCAGTTTCCCACAGGAAATCGAGAGTCGGAGATCCATGTCCCCTAAGTTCATAACTCCATAGAAATTCAACACAATGAGCAGATCCTCTTCCTGAGGAGTATTTTTGACCACATAGGCAACCTCTTAGCGATAGCCCCGAGAAAACATCGCTAAAGAATTTTTATAACAAATTGCCTATGCAGTATTTCCATACATATTTTAGCGCGTGTCTACCCCACGCCAACCTTGAGGAGTGCAAACGTCATATTTCCATAAATAGGCTGAGAGCTTGAACTACCTGTTTATCAACTGCCTAGTTTCGGGATGCGCCACACATTTGGTTTTCGTTTGTTATTTATTGTATGGCTAAGTCCCACTCCGGCGTGGGAACATGGCAGGGGAAAGAGGTTGAATTCGATTCAGAATTTGAATCAAGGACTTGATTACGGTGGTAAACTGCCATTCGGTAGGACCCATGTTCATGTTACACTGCCAATTACTAGGATTCGCTTTTGNAACAATTTATGTTTTTTTTTCTGATAATTTTCATGAAAGCCCCTCTGCTACTGATTTCGGAGCTTTTAAACGGAACTGAAGCATTGTTAGACGGATTGAACGATGGTCTTCTCAAGGAAAGAGATGATCACCAGTTTGTGAGGTCAAACGGATAGGGGTCAAAAGATGAAACCAATGACGGGTAGTAAATCGATGACGATGCTGAGGCTAACTCAGTAGTGCTGCGTAGAAAGACCCCCTACTTCTCATTCTTGTCATCAGCTTCGAAGTTCTCTGCTGGAAAGAAAGCTTCAAAGTACATCTGGTTGGTTTTTTCATTTGTCCCTTTCTAATCTGCTGTATGCATGCAACCCTCCAAGCACATCTTTCATTCGTTTCTTTCTTCAGCAACCGTCATCTAATGAGAAGGGTGTTGACGTGCTTTGACGCTGCTGCTTCGGGCTGCTGCTGCTATGTCTGTCAGGAAAAGCCAGGCCGAATGTAGCTGATTAATTCACTGTCGACAAACATTGCTGCTGGCCGGATCTCCTATTGCTGAGGTAGCATTCACTATTGCCTATGTCTGATATATCGTACTCGGAAGTAGAGCTTTCTGGGCAGAATCGGAGCCCTTTGTTCTGGCCCTGCTCAAAAATCCGTAGACTGCGAAAGAGACGAGACGTTCCTTGCGTTGTTGGAATCGGAGAGATCATTGTGATGGAAAGAATGGCCCTAAGGGGCGATATAGGTTTGGATAAGCTCGAGTTTTACATGTTTTCGGTTTATTGCGGCAGCAGAGTCAGCGGTAATATCTGCCCTGTTCCCCATTTAATCACCATTTATGTCTGCTTGTTTCATTCAGGTCTAATCGTAGTGTTGGCCAGCCTACCCTACCTTGTACTGGCTACCAAACAGAGCCTCTACAAAGTAAGGAAGGCTGCTTTTGGTACAGAGCGCTTAGTGCCACACCTTCGTTTAAACAGACTGGTTGAAAGTACTCGATCGCCAGGGCGATCACTGGCCGCTCAGGCTCACCTGATCCATGCTGTGAGTGTCTTTTCTTGTATTCCCATATTTCCCTCTCCACTCTCCAAACCTTCTCTAGGCGTGTGCATCCATATGCACTCGTATGGGGAGGAGATGGGTGGGAAAGAAGGGGCGGCGTACTGAACAGCCCCCCTCATTGAACATCAGATCGTTCAGGTCTCGGTAAACAATCGATCATTGAAGAACCTATTCGAAGGTCCGGTAAACATTGACTTTTGACCTGCTCACAACAATAAGATCGAATAGTTTTCTAGTCGTTTCTGGCTCCATATTACTTTAGAGGGACAAAAGGATTTGAACCAAACAAAAGCCTTCTCATTATTGCTCCCGTTGGGTTGAATCCTTTTGTCCTCGTGAATCCTCACCCTTTTCAGTCCCTCGGCAGTTCCTCGGTAGACCCCTTACCCACCAGAATCCTGCGAAATTTTGCAGGACTGTTTCTACTGTGATCACATTCCTTTTTCGAAGAACTTCATAGTTTCAGGGATAATAAGGTTATCCAGGGTCCTACAGGAAACAGTACCTTTCTTATGATTTCATCTTCGCAGTTTTCACATGGCTTCATTTATCAAGTGAGATTCAGAATTTCGAATTAGCCTTTATTGATCAGATAAACAGGTTGTTGACTCTCTCGCGCAGCGTGTTTATCTAGGCAGCTTGAACTTCCCCGTTGATATCATTGCGTTGCAGACCGACAGACACTTCAGTGTCCATGGTGGCGTGATTGAAGATCGCACTCAGATTCGGGCCAAACTACGAGCGCTAAATCCCTACTTGTCACCATGGTTCTGAATGGAATTTCAAAACAGAGTCCAACAAGAGACTAGCTGATGTGGACCCCTTTCTCGCCTCCTGGGGTGCGTGGGTCCCTCATTCTCGGCGTATTCCATTTAGGATGTGAGCGATACGGAAGGTTCTGCGGGTGGTCGAGATGACATTGGACATCATGAAAGGACGAGCTGTCAATTGAGTAAGTTCCGCATGAAGAACGCCATCAGTCCATAGGTTGACAGCCCCATTTGGGAAGACTAAAATGAGTGGAAGGACAGTTTTAAAATCCATTTTCTGCTGATAATCTGCTTCGGAAATAACTTCCGATGTAATTTTCGAAATCGAATTGAGATGTGGCCATTATGCTGATTCCCTTGTACGTAATTTGCTCTCTTCACAGAAAACCACTTCTCTTCGATATTCTTCCGTATAATAGGATTCCTTTCTTACTAAGCTGATTGCTGTCGTTGCAGTAGTTCTCCGAAATTAGCATAGCAAATTGTATGGAACGGATATAAGATGATCAGCAGCCATCCTCAGTATCTCACGTATCCTATCTAATGAGACATAGATAATGCCCATGTGTACTTTGAACAAATTAGCATAGCTTCTGCATGTGAGCTTTGGTAGTGAGGAAGGCATAGCAGGGTATGAGAAACACTCTGGGAGCTTTCCCCAGTTGGTACGCAGGAAGTGACCTAGGAGTGACTGTTATTCGTTGTCGATTTCTTTTGAAGGTATGGTCGTCATTTTAGGTCCCGTGGGAAATCGTTTTCATGAATTCGTATGGCTGTGAAAAGGTGTATAGGAATCCCTCGACAGGAAATCCCTCGAAGAAGAATTCGCTGAAGTTGAGCATAAAAAATAAAAAGGGCATCTTCCGGTCGAGTGAGCCGGTCGGGTAACCCTCCCAGGTAATCATATTCACTACTCCCACAGAGAGGCGGCAAAAAGTAGAGGAGTGAGGGGTAGAGGGAGCTAAACACCTCGGATTTATTCAGTTAGTATAACTTAATAAGCATAGTGCTCGTACCCTTTCTTCATAGTACTAACTGAACTTCCCCCTAACCAGTCTCCCAGATCTTCTTAGGCTAGCTCTAATCCCAGATCAAAATCAATATTATCCTGACTTTGTAGGAATACTAAGTGGTAGCGCCTATTTGAAGAATTCGGCAGCAACCGGTGAGTTGCATTTATTGTTGACATCCAAAGATCCTCTGGGAAGAAGTTTTTCCCTTAGAAGATTATGATTCCCACTTTATAATCTTCTGGGAGGCATGAGTAAAACATTCAAGAGCGTTTCTGCTCAAAGGGAATCGTGAAGTAGAC